TACAGTATAGGACCAGAACCGAAACCCCTCTCGACTCCCCAATGAACGAAGAGGTCAAAAATCGAGGTGATCAAACCTTCCTACATAGGGTCATCTCAAACTCCTGCTTGCTCAACCTTCTTACGTTCAGGACCACAGTCAAAATCCCCTCCGATTCTCCACATGAACGAGAGCCGTCCATTTTCAATCCGATGATTCAGAACCTTTCCACAGTTAGGCGGTCATCTCAAACTCCTGTTTGGCCAACCTTCCTACAGTTGCAAACATTGAATTCGCTCTCGATTACGAAAAATTCTTTTAGTCGGTAATCAACCCCCGACAGTTAGGCGTTATCTGAACTCTTTTGAATCTCGGAGTGGAGATCCCACTTTGTTTCCACCCTTCCGGATCTGGGGTGAGAATCCCACCTCGAGTCTCCTGTTCCAGCTGAAGATAGGAACTAAAATTTTATCTCTTCAGTGTGGGAGATAGGGCTATAAAATTCTTCCGTCTCCCATTTCGGCGTTCGTCTTCTGCCAGAAGAAGACACACTTTTTCACTCCAAATCTGGAGTGCCTCACTGCGCACCAGAGAATTTTATCCCGATCTAAGTAGGGATAACGTCACACGCCTAACAGGTGGCCGTTTGTCTTCCACCCGAAATATGAAGAAGACACTAGAATCCAGTCGAGGAAGTTTATCCCGAATCCTAACGCAGGCCGATAAGTACGCGCCTAACACGCGCTGCCGTCTTAGTCGCCTTTTCCACACAAGAAACACAGAGTTCGATTCTCCGGGGTATTCTATCCTGCAACCTAAGTAAGGATAACGTCTGCCGCTCTTACACCACCACCGCTCCGGTTAGTTCTTAAACGCGTAAACAGAAACCACTCGTCCACATATTCAACTTGATGGCATGTGTTATTCAATACACCAAGATCCATGCCTTACACGGCATGGGGAAGTCATCCTGAATCCTAAGAAAGGATATGTCGACACCTAACAGTGTCGCCGTTTAGTCTTTTTCCGCACGCAAAAAGACACCAGGTTCGATTCTTGGGGTATTCTATCCTGAAACCTAAGTAAGGAAGTCTGCCCGCTTAACCCGCGCTGCCGGCTTAGTCTTAACCGTTAAAAGAACACTCTGTCCACATATTCAACATTGTGGCAGTTGTTATTATAACATCCAAAATCCCATGCCTTACACGCATGGGGAATGTCATCCTGAAATCCTAAGAATAATGTCGAACACCTAAACGTGTCGCGGTTTTAGTCTTTTAGCCGATTGAAAAAGACACCAGAGTTCTTCTGGGTATACTTACTCCCGAATGCTAAGTAGGATAAGTCAACGTCTAATCACCGTTGCTGCGGTAGCCTATTCCCATCAACAATGGTAAAGCATATTATCACTTCATAGCACAAAGCTCTAGAGATTCACCTCTCTTGGCACTTAACGTTACATCCCGACACGGCTCCTTGCGCACCACCGCCATGCTAGCCCCCCCGACCGCAAACGGGACAGGTAAAGGCTAATCAATCCGTAAAGCTTGGGGTAGCCAAAAATCCTAACAGTCAAGCCTAATCACGCCGCTCCGCCCCGCGCGTACCTCCTCCCTCCCTCCTCGCGACAGCACCAACCTTCCTCTCTCGCCTCGTCCCTCCCCTCACCTTCTCCCCCCACCTCCCCCACACCCCACCCCCCCCCCTCAACGCTCAAGGGCAGCTTTCCTTAGCACACCGTCCATGCGGAACGGACTTACAGACACCCGCACCTTCCGCTTCACACCCCCCTCACACCCCCTCCCCCTCTCACACGCTCCACTCCTCGCTCTCGCCCTCGCCTCCTCCGCCCCCTCTTGCCCCCCCTCCCCTACCCCACCCTCTCCCCTCCCCCTCACTCACCGCCGCCGCCGCCTTCTCTCCCTCTCCCCAAGCACGAACACCAAGCACCCCTCCCATCCCTCCCCCTACTCCCCACCCATCCTCCGTCCTCTCTCCGCCCCCCTCGTCCTCTACCTCCACCGCCCCACCACCTCCACACCCATCGCACCTGCTGCCCTGATCACTCCCCCCGCCTACCTCCTTCCGCTCCCAAGGCCGTCCCTCCCCACCCCTCTCGCATGCCCCGGCGATTGCCACAAACACTCCCTGCCTCATCACCACTCCACGAGAGTCCACTAGACGCCACAGCCCTCTCATTATTGGCTCTCGTCGACCCTTTGAGCTCCCCACAGCCTGAATTTCAAACACCCTTCCCCAGGGTTATCCGTCCCCCCCCCGCGCGACAACGCATAGACCCCCCTGGTCACGCCCTCCACCCCGTTGCAATACAAAACAGTTCAACGTACTACGTCCAAAACCCTAAGGTCAACGCCGGACAACGCCGCTAACCCTAGGTCAACGGCAGTCTACTCTGCATCAAAAAATCACGACCGTCACGACGTATCACCCTGGTCAAACGCCTCCCCCCCCCGCCGCGACAACGCGATAACCCCTAGCTCACCCTATCAATGCGTTGCAATGACGAAGAATCAATACTCCCGCCAAAAGTACTAGGTTCATAAACTGATTCTTATACTCCGCGAAAGTTACGAGTATAAACTGCTTCTTGACAATACTCCGAAAGTTACGAGTATAAACTTGCCTTCTATACTCCAATAAGGTATATGAGTATAAACTCGTGCCTATTTTGGTTGAGAAGTTCTCTGGGAGAGCGGGTATTTTTCTAAACAATTACTTCTTAAGATAATACAACACAACGCGTCCCCTTCCGGACAACGCGCGTGCACATAAAACACCACTCCGACCCCAGACATCGCCATGGTCCAATTGTGCTGACGGAGCTGCAGATCCAAAATATCAGCGCACTCGGCACTTCAAGTCCATCGAAATCTAATTGCGACAAACGCGTCATCACACATAAAACCGTGCCCGCACCGAACCCTTCTACAGACAATTCGACACTCAGCACCGCCGAGGCCCGTCACATAGCCCCGATAGGAAGATTGAGGGCATGAGATCTAGACAAAGCCATTCCAAGAGTGCCACGTCTACACCGCAGCTGAAGAGTTGTGCCTGCGCATCAGCCCATCACTCCAAATCTTCATTCGCAGCACTCCTAATAAAAGACCACGAGGACTGGAATACTTGCGAGGACCGTATCTGTCACGGCACGTATAAAAATTGCTTATAGGCTCCCTCCTAGCTCCACGCTCCGGCAGCCTAAAACGCCAAACCCACGAGGGCAGCACCGGAGAATCGCATGAACTCGCCACACGAAAAGCACGAATCACGCCATCGCGTGCACCGCGGGATAGGCCCATCAGTGTCTCGCAGAGCTCAACTGATCAGTCCCAACAAGGCGGAGCACTTCCGACGCCACGATCACGAAACTACCTCGAATCGGAAGATCCGGTTCGGCGGTGCCGAACCTGCAACGCAGCGCGATTTTACTGCCAAACTCCACAGGATCCAGTTACTCTCCAAATCCAGGAATCGGATATCTTATGCCCTCAATCATTGTTACATCCCATTTACTGCCAAATCAGAGTACATCATAGACTTTACTGCCCCCTAATCAGGAGTCCAGATCTTCTGCTCCTAACTCATGTGATCCAGATTTACTGCCAAGTCTTCGCAGGAATTAGATTTCTGCTAATCAGGCATCCAGTATTAACTGCCAAATCATGGAATCAATTTACCTCTGCTACATCACGATCCAGATTTACTGCCAAATCGGCAATCGAACCTTGACTCGTCAATCAGAGTCTACAATCAAACCCGCAACTGCCGCCGCGAGACCGCAGCCACGACTATACGGCCAGAAAACCACAAACCATAGGCCCCGCAACTTGCTCGGACCATGCGCGTTCATCCCAGAGGTCGGCCCGACAAGTGGCCGACAGGTGACCGGCACCAAGGTCGGCCCGACAGTGGCCGACAGCTGGCCAGACCAGATGGCACCGACACGTGGCGCGATCCACATCAGCGCAGGATCAAGTAGGCACCGACCAGTGCGGCCACCCAGGAGGTTGGCCGTATCAGTGTTGCGCTACAGGCGCCGACCAGCTGCGACACCCAGAGGCGTAGGCCGCATGTGGCCGACCCGAGTGCCCGGCCCCTCAGCCACCCAGAGAGTGGCGACATTGGGACAGTGGCTGGCCCACCTCAGAGGTGGCGACCAGTGGCCGCCAGTGCGCCGACATTCTGTCTAGTGCGCCCGCACCCATCGAGGGCACAGTCTGAGACGCCTATCAATAGTGCCCATTGATGTGCGTCCATTTGAAGCGAGGGGTGGAAACTTTTGGTAGACAGGCGAAGCCGCCTGCTGGATTGGAGACTCGGGTGAGATTTGATTAACGTTTGGGATTCGGCGGACTCAGCTCCTTCAGATCCTGGTGCCCGCCAAGCGCATCCTATCAACGCTCAAATAAGGCAGGTGTGGCGCTCGAGAGGATACCAATCTCCAATCTACGCGCATACCGTACTCATCTCAAAGCTTCCCGGTCTTACGATCCCGCGAGCTTCAGTCCCCGATTGTCGCACATCCCTCTGTGAACCAATCCTCCCCGGCTATTATTTCCTTGTACAACTCCACACGGGGGCCTTCCCCTCGGTCCCCCTTTCCCGCACGCCCGGCGGGTTCCCGCGCGCTGCCCATTGTGAAATAGATACCCGTCGTAGGTGCGTAGATCGCGGATCTACGATTCTCGCGGTGGTCCACGGCAAAACAACCCCGGGGGCGGAACGGCAAGAAAGCCACCAACGAGACATGCACCGCAAACAGGACATCCGATTGTTCGACACAAAAGCGAGAAAAGTCTGTCAATCTCTCTGTTTTCTTTTATCTTGGTTTTCTGTCTGTCACGGATTCTATAAAAACCGCGATCTTTCCTCCGCCTACCCTCTCCCCAAAAAGTTGTAACTCAAGATGACAATGGAATCAATAACAAAGAAACCTACGATTTTCCACGCGAACAACTCGCACGAGTTAAGTTTACTCAAGAGCCGAATTCGCCTACGATCGGTAAGATCGGCAGACTCGCCAGAGTACCTAGCAGCCACAACATCATGTACAAGGATGGGCTTTCCTATCTCCCACAACGTGAAGAGGAGGAGCACAGTATCCTGAGCCGATCAAGCAGCCGCTTATGGTACAAGTGAGAAGCATGGTATCTCCCAACAGTACATGGTCACATCCCATAATTCAAGGGATTGACCACACTGTCTCTCCTCTATTTAAGAGCCTCTCCTGGCTATAGGAAAGAGGTTCGTAGTTAATTGATTAATCCAATCAGTTAGTCGGACCATTAGCTCTCAACTCTCGACTGAGCTGACGACATGCTCTTTGCATGATCTTTGCACTATAGCATCTTCCCCTAGCTTCGGGCCCTGACCGCCATTGAACTCGACCAACATGAGCTTCTACCATTAACCAAAGCTTACCAGCAACCTAGATCAAATCATCCAAGGGAATCAGACTCGGTGAGAACCGAGCGAGGCATCCTATTGCTACTAGTGTCCCCACGTTAAATAAGGAGGGCCTACCCTCTGCTTCTGTTATAATTTTAATTCATTAGTTTATAATAAGCTATTCTTATCAATACAAACGATACCCCCATATCGGGAAATCAAAATTTACACCTACAGGGTGCTTGTTGAAAATTGAAAACACAGGGGACGCTTGCGTTCTGAGTCCTAACTCTACGTCTTAGATTTGAGACGCAGAGTTGGGTATCTACTGGATACTAAAAACATAGGGGCCGCTTGTGTTTAATTCGCTGCGGGTTGGAAACACAAGGTTGCCTGCGTTATAAGAACCGAAACGCAAAGGTGAGCTCTGCATTCAAAATGAGCTAGTGACTTGTAATCCTCTTCTACAAAACGTTGCAAAGATCATTGTTCAGTAATCTTTGCTTTAGCTGTCTTGAGGTGTTAAAGTCATTAGATTGTAACTCTCACAGTTGATGGTAAATGCCACTGAATGGAGTTTTTGTCAGTCGTTAGAAGGGTCATTGAATTATAACTCCTCTCGATCTATATGAAAAGTCCCCCATTTGCAGCTTTCATTTGTTAACATAAAAGTCATCTAATTATAACCATCTTAGTTAAAACTGTTGGTTGAGGTTTGACAGGGATCGGCTATCTATTGTGACTTTTAGATAGCCAACAGAACCCCCTCCAAAGTTTTCGAAAGTTTGCTGTTGACTAGGACGAATTTTCGAAATACTTTGGATCTCAAAATTTTGTTGATTGATCGTTCACTCTGCTTGATTTGAAGACATCTTGGACCTGGTTATTGGAACATAGTGATTCAGGTTCCTTAAACCAAATAAGGTAACTTTTGCTTCTTGATGACAATGAACTTAGTCAAACAAGCTAAAGCCCAATGTTATTGAACCAAACAAGGACGAGGATGATAACGAACTCGTCCGAATCCTTAAGATACTCTACTTAACTTGTGAAAAGGTGTATTCTTCAAATTTTATCTGGATCCTTAAGATACTCCACTCAATCTACGATGAGGTGTATTCTTCGGATTCTGTATGGGTCCTTGAGATAATCCACCTAATCTACGATGAGGTGTTGTAAGGACCATGAATTTTTAATACTAGTTAAACTAATTTTCTAATATTTTAAAATATTCAATTATTATTTTTAAAAGAGTATTTGTATTTTTCTCGATTTCCTACAATTTTCTATGATTTAAAGTTCAAGATTTATATTTATTTAAATGGTTTTGATATTTATAAATTAACTTAGTGCAGTAAAATTTTTTGGAATTTATCATTTGTGTTACTGATATTATTACGTATCATTTTGAATAATATGTGGTATTATTATTATTACATATATTTTCATATAATACGTTGTATTATAAATTACGTATTAATTGTATAATTTATTGTATTATCTCTACTGTTACATATTATCTATCGTATTAGTATAATTAGTATGTTTTACTGTGTATATAATTCTTCCATAATTATTTAATTTTAAATATAAGTAATTATATTTATATTAATTATTCTTATTTAATTATTCGTTTGGGAGTGTAATATATGGAGGAGTTCTTGGGTATTAGTGTCTAAACTAAAGTTGTGGGGGGGCGGTAGGTTAAGTGGTTGTAGATAAAGCTACAACTGGGGACGGTTTTGGGAGTGGTGTAGGATAACTTTTAAACGTAATTTGAGTGTTGA